AGCAGGAGAACGCTTGTACAGACATAGGTCTTCTGGAGATCTCAAGTGGTGCATGAGCTAATTAGATCTGATATTGGATGTATTACTGATGGACAGTAGGGGAAAACTCACTCTGTAACAGAAAATTAAGTACAAATGCAGTGGTTCGTAGGATTTTAGGATGTGGAGATATGAATGCTTGGTGGAACTGCTTTTTGCTAATGGTTTGCTAATAGTATCTGGAAAGAATACGGCAAAGGCCAGATTTTGTATCAATGCAGAAATGATGGTTCAGCTATATGGAAATGAACACTCTGGAATTTCGATCAGTGCCACGATCTCAGTCGCACGCTATTGAAGAGGTGAGCTGCGTGGCTCCTGCTGGAACTGCCTGCAGCTTTTCTGTAACTTCCAGTGAAAGCTGGATGAAGAGCCACGCGTTCTGGAAAATGCAATCATACTCCACTCCATAGTTTGGTTTGGGTTTTGTTATTGTTGTTGGTGGGTGTTTTTGTTTTTTATGCCTTGGACAAACTTTGAGAAGGTTAATATGCTCTTTTGTTTGCTTGCTCATTTTCTAATAGAATCAATGAGGTATTTCTACTCTGAAAACATATTTATTAGGAGAACGGCTGTACTGCTGTTACCCCTGAAATTGGTGATAATGACTTCAGCGTTACTGAAGGGACAGGATCAGGCCAGAGGCTAATAATGCATTTTAGTTACCGTATGACCAAAACAGAGCAATAAAATCATACTAACAAGAAGTGAACAGTGAAAGTTGCATCCATTACTAAAGCACTCAGCTGGGGAGAAGTGACGTTTTGGAAGGGGAGAGAGAAGGCCAGCCTCTGCCTGGGACGCAGGGCAGTGCCCCCTGTCCTCTCCACCCTTTCCCATCTTTCCTCTCTCCTTCGCAAAGGAGAGGGCAGCTGATCTGTGCACTTTACGTATTCCACCCCATCCCCGTGCGTGACCCCGCGCGTTTTGGCGTACAAAAGCTGCCGGCTCTGTTGTGGAGCACCTCTCTTCCTAGTCAGAGAATAGCTGCCCTACAAATCTAGCGTTGGCTTTGGATTTGTTTTCCACCTGAGTTAAAGACCCTGGTGTATATAGTATAAATGGAGTATAAGTAAAAGTTATTTTAACTTTTTTTTTTTTTTTAGTGACCTGTGTAAAATGTTCATGCCAATTGTCCGTTGAGATATATTTTAGTAGCAGTTAAAAGGCAAGGAAAGTATTAATGAACCACATTGAATTCTTCAAAACAGTGGAGAAGTGTATGAGACTCATGTACAAGGGAAGCTGCTTTATTGAGGATAAATTTGGACGCGAATACTAAGTTACAGCCTTTGTAAAAGTCGCATCAAAAGTTTTAAAATCCAACTTCAAAATGGAAGTTTGATGGTTTGCAACTTTTTGTTAGACTGAAAAGTGAAAGCTTTGGTTAAAGCAAAGTACGCTCATACATGTTATTAATGGTGTAGTCAAAATATTTATTGAAAAGAAAGGTAGACTCTTTTAAATGTTGCACCTGCCATTATTTCTTAAAGCACATTCTTCACATCTAACTGCCAGTGCCATTATGAAGTCTGTTTTATAAATGTACATTTCTTCAAACTAAAAAGTGCATAATTAAAAGTATTATGTTACTGCCATATAGTGATATAAAACATTTTATAATTGCCAATTCATTGTAACTATTATTTATTTAAAAGTGAATTGTAAGAATGCTTTCTGATCAAACGAACCAGAGTTGTTTTTAAAACGTTCCCGTTAGCTTGTTTCTAATGTAGCATAAGCGATGTCCTTGGGTTTGTTTAGAATAATTTTGCCAGTAGGTGACCAATTCTAACCCCTGTTCCTCCAGTTTAGTCCTTTACCCATTTTAAAGACAATTTACAGAAGTTTAGTTTTTTGTATGCTAATCGCTGTTAATTAAAATGTTTATAAAGTTTATTTTTACCAAAGAGATGCAATTCATTATGACAAAATATTGCAGAATAAACTTTGTTTTATAACATTTGTGACTTTTTCTGCCCACGTTTTTCATTCAGATGATCAAAGGGGCTTTTATAAAATAAACAGCATTACAAACAGAAAGCACTGTGTTATCTCTTTATCTACAGATCTTGGTTCTGGGCTCAGATGCTGCTCTGAGTGCCGCAGGTTCCCATTTAAATCTGTTCCACAAGACTGGGTTAGTTTTAAAAAAAAAAAAAAAAAGGAAAAAAAAAAAACCTATTTCATTGTAGGTCTCAGCTTGGACAAGAAAACTGCATCTGTACAATAACTGAACCCTGTCAGTTCATAGCAAGATCTGCTTTCAGTCAAGTTTGTCCCCACCTGGCCCATTGTTTTGAATAATAATAGAGGTGATACGATGTCAACCTCTTGATTCCCCATTTTCTCCTGTGTTTATAATACGGAAAATCTACTTTGGAAATGAAACCTAAACCCCACTGATACTTGAAGAGCATCTTATTAAGGCCAAGATTTCGCCCTTTAACCTGGAACTTACAGGATGTTTTGAGAGCTTTGAAATGTCTGAATTACTACTGCATATCTTTTGCCTTACTGCTGTAAGAGATCGTACTTGGTTTGTTTTGCTTTTGTGCAAAGCATTTGCGTAAAAAAAAAAATACTTTGAATCTTTTTCTAATGAAATGTCTGGGATTATTTACAGTTCTGTATCTATATCACTACAGTTAAGCTGCTTGTATTGTACTCAAAGATCTGCAGAGTAGTACAGAACGGGTAATTGTAGAATGCAGAATTTAAGAAATAGTTCTTGTACGGTGTTTTTCCAGTACTTAGTTTTCTTTCGATACGATTTACGGGGTCTGTTCGGCCTTCCTACGTGAGGCCTTCTGGTAAGCATGCAGGTGGCAACACACCCCTCTTCACCAGAAGGAGTAAAATACTCCCCCCCCATCCCACTTTCCACTTGCCCCAGTCCACCCTGAGATATTTTCCGTGGACAAAAGCTGAAAAACAATTAACTAGCTTAATATCGTCTCATGATGCAACCTCAAGCTTTACGAAAGAGCACTATGCAATTCTAGACAGTCATGAAGGACCGGGATATAAATGTCATGTGAGCTGCATTTTGACTGTCCGATTCCATCCTGGAGTTCCACTGAGCTGTCATGTCATAGGAGGGAAACCAGATTCAACATGATTCTTTTTTTCTCTCAAAGGCAGACACTGGTCTATCTGTTCTACTGCTATTTTTCTAACTCACTGGTATCACTGAATAAATTCTCTGTGTAGGATCTGATGGAAATAAAACAGTTCTGCTGCAGTATTTGAAGTGATATACTAGATTTTAAGTAAGACTTGCCTTCATCACCATAGCAAATAATATTTAGAGTCTAAATCTCAAATTACAGAATATCTACGTGTTACTAGCATCTTAGCTGTAGCGTTCATCTTAATCGATAAGACAATGACTGCTCTAATTAATTTGGACAAAACCACAGCTTGGTATCATATGTTAATGATATATTTCTAATTGTTATTCACTATACTATATAAGAGAACCTTAAGTCCATTGTTAAGTTCCCCTAGAGTGTTTTCTTCTGTTATGACTTCACTGGGAATTACCCTCTGTTTGGAGCCACAACTCTTGAAATAAAGCATTAACTGAAGCAATTATCCAGTTATACCAGCTGTATTTTAAGGACATTGGCGGAGGAAATGCTTGATAGATTAGATTTATTTTTAAAAATTGCTTTCTAAATTTGACACAGAATATACTAGTACTTTCTTAGATCTTGAGCTTCCAAATACCTGTAGGTGTTCTTAATTTGAGTAGTCTTGAGTAAATATAGGCAACGGTGAACATCTGGCCTGCTTAGCAGTAATCACATGGGAGTATTAGTGGAAGTCTAGCAGCGTAATTGTGCACTTTCCCAGCATATTTGAGCATAAATCTTTTCTGTGTTTTTTTTTTGTTTTTACCTGAGTGTCATTTTTACACTTTAGACAACAAAGCAATATAGCCTCTGCTTGATTTTTTTTTTCCCCAGTGTCCCTCTTCAGCTCAGTTGGGTTTCTTAAAGCCAACATAAGATAGCTGACTATCTTGTGCCAGTGTTAGCTTAAACAGTTCTTCATTAAACAATAGTGTTTATTTTCCAAATACATCAGTACAAAAGCAATCATTTCCCTCCTTAGGCTCTTGGCTTATAAAAGAAAGCAAAATTGTTTGGTGCCCGTTTGGAAAACATGATCCTCTTACTCATCATGATTCCTCTTAATCATCTTTCTAGTTCTGTACGTCAATTCCAGTTTGAATTCAGCCTTCTGGTACATGCGTGTTAAAAACGATATGCGCACTTTCAGAGCGACGGTGCCTTGGGGAAGGGGCCTTGGGGCATCCCTGAGTTTGCAGAACTGTTCCTGCCTGGTATGTCCTAGGGTTGTAATGGCCCTTGTCGTGGTTATGTACTGCTGACTAATTCTGTTATCAACTAATATATCCATGTCTCTGTTCTCTGCTGTCGCTTCCAAATGTTGAGGCCCCAGTCGGCAAAAATAATTGATAGTCCGTGACCTGGATCTTTACTTTAATAAGATCTGTCCTGATCCTGCTTCCTTGGGATCGCTGCTGGTAACCTTCTTGCACACCAGGAAACTGCCTTTTGGCACAGCCTGCCTTAGGCTGTGCTTAGCCAGTCCCTCTTTCTCCCCAGTGGTTGGAAATGATGGGGATTAGAACAAACGCTTAAGAATTTTGTATGTGGCATTACATCAAATGCTTTTCCAAATGACAAACAGAATGAATCTATTGCATTTATTTCATCTAGCAAACAAGAGGAAAAGAGATTTGTCTGCCGTGATACGGATGTATGTTGCACTTCAGTTCATTTTTCAGTTACCTACAGGGTTTGCCTTTTTTTTTTTTTTTTTAAAACAGTAGGGACAGATCAAAGACGTCTTTTCCTCTTGTCTTAGCTAGAGGTGCTACGTTTGCCATCCTCATACTT